CTCCAGCGCCCCCCTCCGCCCGAGCCTGGGCCCAGCCTGCCCGGCCGAGCGCCTGCCTCCAGCCCGCCCTGTCCCCAGGCCAGCGGGGCCTGCAGCCTCCTGCCGCGCAACCAGACGCTGCTGCGCTGGGCCGACCTGCAGCACACGCTCGGCTTCGCCTGGGAGCTGCACCTCTATGGCACCGGCTCCCTCTTCCTGCTGCTCAGCCTGGCCTGCCTGGCCAGCCTCGTCGTCTCGCCCGTCCTGGGCCCGCCCCACCTGCCCTACACCCTGGGGGCCAACGCCCTGCTGCTGGCCGTCGGCCTGCTCCGCGCCACCTTCCTCCTCGCCGACCCCTACGGCGCCAGGGCCCGGCTGCCCGCCCCGGCCATGCGGCTGCTCTACAATGCGCCCTTCCCGCTGCTGCTCGGCGCCTTCGCCCTGCTGCTGCCCCCCCGGCAGAGCCTGCCTCTGCTGGCCGCGCTGGCCGCGCTCCAGAGCGCCGGGCTGCTGGGCGCCGACCTGCTCTCGCCCCTGCTGAGCCCCGCCCTGGGCATGGGGCTGCACCTGCTCTCCTGCGCCCTCGGCACCTCCCTCCTGCTGGCCAGCCTGGCTGCGTCTTGGCGGCTGCGGCCCCACCGGCCGGCCGCGGCCCAGCAGGTGTCGCGTGGCTGCGAGGACCCCCAGGAGCTGCCTGGGCAGGGTGGAGCCCTCCCGGGGCTAGGCCCCTGCCCGCGGGTGCTGCTGGGGTGCAGCGCTCTGGGGCTGCTGTGCTGCGGGTTCCAGGCCTACGGGGCCCTGTGGCTGGGGGGGGTGCTGGGCCCGCCGGGGGAGTTCTCCTGGCCCTGGTGGTTCGTGCAGTCCTGGTTCCGGACCTGTGAGCTGCTGCTGGCCTTTGCCCTGTGCCGCGCGGCCTCGCACCCCTTCTGCCAGCGCCGCGGCTCCGCGGACCACGCCTGCTGGGCCAAGCTCGGCCGCTACTTCTGCCCCCACCGCCAGGCCGGGGCGCCCGAGTACCCCAACGACTGCTGCCACTGGGCCAGCGGCACGCAGGGGCGAGTGGCCAACGGCGACATCCGCGAGAGCCTGATCCGCAGCCCGCCCGAGCAGGTGCCCCTGCGGGCGCTGAAGGACAGCAATGAGGCCAGGGCGGCGGGGGCCTGCTCGGCTGGGGGCTCCCCCTCCTCGCTGTGCCGGCCCGGCCTCAGCCCCCCCTGCCCCGGCGCCGCGCACGGGGGGCACGCCTGCCCCGAGAGGGCGTCGGCCCTGTCGCTGGGGGCGCTGGAGTTCTGCCCGCCCTCGCCCATCAGCCTGAGCCGCAGCATCGACGAGGCCCTCTTCAAGGAGCACCTGGTTCGCGACAGCATCTTCCTGCGCGCCAGCCTGCAGGGCCCCGGGCGCCTGGCACGCCGGGACTCCTGCTCCTCGCTGCGCAGCGGCTCTGCCCTGAGGTCCCTGGCCGAGCCCCCGCTGCCCGCCGAGGCCTGGCCACGCCGCAGCTCGCTCAGCGACCTGCCCTCCCAGAGCGCCAGCCTGCCCCCGAGCCAGGGCCTGCCCAGCGAGCCCCCCACCGAGGGCGCCATCTCGGGCAGCTCCCTCGACAGCTTCTCCGGGGGCTCCCTGAAGATCAGCTGGAACCCCTGGCGGCATGGCCTCTCCTCGCCGGAGAGCTTGCCCCGGGAGGAGACGCCCAGCCGGGCCCCGCTGCTCCCCGAGGAGGCCCCTGGGCCCGGCCCCCCAGGAGGGGCCGGAGACTCTGAGTGCGAAGCCAGGGAGAGGTTCCTGGCGCTCAGCAAGCAGGTGGATTCCCGCAGTCTGTCGAGTGACACCATTGAGCTGTGAGGGGCCGGGCCAGGGCAGCCCCTCAGCACAGCGCCTCGGACAGCGGCTGGAGCCCTGCCAGGGAGCAATGCCAGGGGGAGCCCACGACAGGCAGGCCCCCGCATGGCCCTGCCCTGCCTAGTGCCAACCCCCCAGCCCGTCAGTGATTTTTACGTAGCTCTAGTTTCCCAGCTCAGGTTTTGCACCTTGGTCCAGGCTGCACGGGGGAGCTGGGCTAGCCCAGGACGAACCAACTCAGCGGGAGCAGGACGTGCTTTGCCAGCGCACGATGCAGAGCCAGGCCCGGGGGCAGCCCTGGCTCTGGCTGAGCGAGGGCCTGGGCCAAGGCCAGGGAGGAGCCTCCCGCCCAGCGGGCCCGGAGGAGCATCACACCAGGGCTGCTGCAGCATGAGGGGGACAGGTGGCCTTAGCCCTGCTGTGCCCATGGGTCCCCCTTGGCTGAGCCCCCGCTAGGCCAGACCCTAGGGAGCGGCTCCGGGGTGAGGCTGCCCCATGGACCAGCACTGCAGCAGGAGCCACTAGCCCTGACCCTAAGGAGGCAGCCCCCAGCTGGCCCTCTCGGTGCATGCCAAAGGGGGGGTCTGACCACTGCGGGGGGAGGGGGCTGTTGCTGTGGGTCTGTTTGTGCCAAAGAAAGAAATAAACATCCTCACAGGCCCCCGGCAGTGCTGGAGCGATTCTTCCCAGGAGCAGGGCCAGCGGTCCGGGCTAGGGGTAGCCTGTGCCCCACCCCAGGGACAGGGACCAAATGCCTTGGGGAAGGGGCATCCCCATGGGCCGTAACCTGCAATGGGCCATGGGGTTGTGGGGGGGGAGGACAAGCCCTGCCACTGCCTGGAGAGCTGAAGGAAAGGCCCTGCACTATGGCCCAAGCCAGGGTGCCCTGAGGCCTGGCTTGTGATCCCCTCCCCACAAGCCCAAGCCCCCATTCCAACTGCCGCACAAGCCGTTTGCCCCAGGGCGCAGCAGGGAGCGAGCGTCTCCAGGCCTGGGGCCATGGTGGGGAGTCTGGTACTGGGGCATGCCCTGAAGCTGGTGGGGGGCAGTTGCCCGGGGCCCCATGGCTCTTCTGTCACCTGGACCCAGCACACACAGGGCTTGAACCCTCAGCTGGCCAGGCTAGTGCATAATCCATCCCCGGGAGCTCCCAGACACATGGAGGCCCTGGCTGCACACAAGCCCCCCCCCCCCCCCCCCAGTTGCTGGCACCCAGCAGGAGGCAGGCTCCTAACCCTCCCCCCCCCCACCCCCAAACCAGGGCTGCCAAGGCACTGACCTGCCAGGGAAGGGGGTGGGCACTAGTGCGGGGGGGGAATAGTCTTGGATGCTGCCCCACCCACGGGGCTTGCTCACACACCCCCCAGTGGCCAGCCCCATCCAGTAGCCCCACACATGCTGAGCTGCCCCAGACCAGGCGCCTGTAAAACCAGGAGCCCCTATGGGCTGGGGGAGGGGTCTGGGCACAGGGCTGTGTCTCTCTGGGGGTGGGGTCTCTGGGGGCAGGGTGAGGCTGTGCTTTTGGGGGGGTCAGTCTCTGGGGGCAGGGCAGGGCTGTGTCTCTGGGGGGGGCCTTTCTGGGTTTGCTAGGCCCAGGGAGACCCATCACAGGGCCACTCAGCTGTGTGCCACCCAAAACATCTTTTGCCCTGGAGCACCAGCTCCCCGGCAGCCTGGCTCTGACTGCCCCCCCACCCACAGCACCCCAGGGCCTCCTCCTTGCTCCCCCACCCTAGGGTGCAGGGGAGCTGCACCCCACTCTGCCATGCCTGGACCCCAGGCTGCAGCCCCCCCCCCCCCGAGCCCAAGGACCACAGCACCCAGCCGGGCATGAACACATTTATTTTCCCGAGGCAGACAGACAAACAGCCATGCCAGAGCCAGACAATGCAGCAGCCCTGGGCATGGACGAGGTTGGGGCCCGCTGGCCTGTGCCACCCCCACTGACAGCACAAGGAAGGGGTGGGACAGAGTGAGGATTGGGGGGAAGCAGCTGGGCCTGGAGTGCACCCCCCTGCAGTGGAGTTGGGGCTCTCAGTTCAGAAAGAAACCAAGCTGGGGGGAGAAGGGGGCCCAATTCTGACTTGAGGGGGAAGCTCCTCGAAGACCCAGGGCTGCCATGACCAGCCACCCCCCACCCGCACCCCACTGCCCCTTGTTTTCCATCCCCCATCACTGCACTGCTGGCCTCCCCAAGCCCCAGCCCAGTGACCCCATAAGCTCTGTTAAACAGGCTCCTCCTGTGCACCCCACCAGGCTTCAGGTCAGGGCTGAGGGCAGGGCCCAGCCCCAGCCCCAGCCCGCACTCCGCAGGCCCAAGCCTTCTCTTTGTCAAAGCACAGGTGGATCCCTGCCTGGTGCAGATGCCTCGAGCCAGTGCTTGTTGCCTTTGGCTGGCAGGATGCCCACCCCAAACATGCAAACACCTCCTCTCCACCCCAGAGCAGCATGCCTGTGCCCCAGCGGCAGGCGTGAGGCAGGGCCTGTTCTTGGTTATACACCCCCCTGACTGGTACAAATGTCATCAGTTAGCTCTTACCATTAACCCAGAAAAACTAATCACCATTTTTTAAATTGTGATTAATCACACTATTAAACCATAGAATACCAACTGAAATTTATTAAATATATTTGGATGTTTTTCTACATTTTCAAATATATTGATTTCTATTACCATGAATTGAATACCACCGTTACCCACCCTCGAAGCACGAAGGAACATATGAATCTTTAGTGCATCTGGCACATAAATATCTTGCAACACCGGAGAATACACTGCTCACTTTAATTACAAATATTCACATGGTAAAAATGATAAACAAAAGAAAGTATTTTTCAATTCACCTCATACAAGTACTGTAGTGTAATCTGTATCATGAAAGTTGAACTTCCAATGTAGAATTATGTACAAAAAGTGCATTCAAAAATAAACATGTAAAACTTTAGAGCCTACAAGTCCACTCAGTCCTACTTCTTGTTCAGCCAATTGCTCAAACAAGTTTATCTCCTGCAAATGTAAACAATGCTGCCCGCTTCTTATTTACATTGTCACCTGAAAGTGAGAACAGGTGTTTGCATGAGACTCTTGTAGCTAGTGTTGCAAGGTATTTAGATGCCAGATATTTATATGCCCCTTCAGGGTTCAGCCACCATTCCAGAAGACATGCTTCCATGCTGATGACACTCATTTAAAAAAAAAAAAAAGTTCATTAAATTTGAGACTGAACTCCTTGGGGGAGAACGGCACATCTCCTGCTGTTTTACCCGCGTTCTGCCCTATAGTTCATGTTCTAGCAATCTCGGATGAGGACTCAGCACGTTCGTTTTTAGAACACTTTCACAGCAGATTTGACAAAACGTAAAGAAGGTACCAATGTGAGATTTCTAAAGATAACTACAGCACTCGACCTACGGGTTAAGACTCTGAAGTGCCTTCCAAAATCTGAGAGGGATGAGGTGTGGAGCATACTTTCAGAAGTCTTAAAAGAGCAACGCTCCAAAATGTGAAAACTACAGAACCCAAACCACCTAAAAAGAAAATCAACCTTCTGCTGGTGGCATCTGACTCAGATGACGAAAATGAACATGCGCCTGTCTACGCTGCTTTGGATCGTTATCAAGCAGAACCCGTCATCAGCATGGACACGTCCTCTGGAATGGTGGCTGAAGCATGAAGGGACATAGGAATCTTTAGCGTATTTGGCAAATATCTCGCGATGACAGCTACAACAGTGCCATGCAAACACCTGTTCTCACCTTCAGGTGACCTCCTGCAAATGTAAACAAACTTGTTTGCTTGAGCGATTGGCTGAACAAGAAGTAGGACTGAGTGGACTTGTAGGCTCTAAAGTTTTACATTGTTTTATTTTTGAATGCATTTTTTGTACATAATTCTACATTTCTAAGTTCAACTTTCATGATAAAGAGATTGCACAATGGTTCTTGTGTTAGGTGAACTGAAAATAACACGGCTGATACTCTGAAACCTATTTCTTTTGTCTTTTTACAGTGCAAATATTTGTAATCAAATATAAAGTGAGCACTGCACACTTTGTATTCTGTATTAAAATTGAAATATATTTGAAAATGTAGAAAACATCCAAAAATATTTTAATAAATGATATTCTATTAACAGAGTGATTAATTTTTTTTTTTGCTTGACAGCTCTAGTGCTAATGGATCTAGGCTGCAGGGAGTGTATTCATACTAACCCCCTTCACCCCTCCGGTGCCTGGCCCTTCAGTGCTGGAGGGTGGAGAGGGCACAGGCATGCCCAGGGCCCTGAGCAGCACCAGAGTGAAGTGCTGGGCCAGGCCTTGCAGATCAGGGCACCCATCTCAAACTGTTGCTCCTGGGGCAATCACTGTGGGCTAGGCCGCAGCCAGCTGGCCCCACTCCCCAAACCCCACCCAGCTCCCACAGGACCTGGGGGCAGTCTGGTGAGCAGGCCCTATGGCTGGTATTAAACCTGCTTTTCTAGGGTCGGGGGCCCCACCTGGCACTCAGCCAAGACCAACCCTCACTTTCTCCAGTACTGGCTGGGGGTCATGAGGCCACATGTGCAGGGGCAGGGCAGAGCACTCTTTAAAAGCCCCCCTCCCCCGGGGCAGGTGCCCACCCTTCCCAGACTCCAGGAGTGGCCACTACATCCGGTCCTGCCTCGTGGGCCCCAGGCACTGCCAGATGGTGAGCTCCTGGCACTGCTCTGCTGCCCCCAGAGAGAGCAGAGCCCCAGGAGTCAGGGGCCTTGTGCTGAACAGGCCCAGTGCTGCTGTTCTCAGCTAGCCCGGAGCCAGCTCCTAGCCTTGCTGGATGCTCAGCTCCACCGCGACTTGGCCCTGCCCACAGGCTCCCATCCTTGAGCAGGGACCCCGCTCCTGTATCCCACCCCCAACGGGGCAGGGCAGGCTCCAGCCAGGGATACAGAAAACCAAGGTCAGTTCCCAGTCGCTTCCTCTGCCTGGGCCTCTGTCCCCTCAGTGCCCACGAGGGCACCTCCCTGCATTGCTGGGCCTGTAATTATGTTTTACATGGCAAGGTGCTCCACCACCACGGTGACAGGTCCCCAGACCGAGGCTCATGCCAAAGGGACCACCTGGACAGATACTGAGGCAGGAGCCTCTGTTCAGCTGATTCAGCCACATGGTGAGCAGGATCTCGGTCCCCTGCTGTGTCCAACCCAGGGACACCCCCACACCAAACAAGGGCAAGTTAGAAGAGGAGGTCGCTGGGGAGGAGTATCACAGCCCGGCTCTTCCTCCACATAAGGACCCTTCATCCTCACCCCCTATGCAGCAGACATCAAGATCCTTGAGCAGAAGAGATGCTGCAGACTGAGATCACAGCTGTGCAAGGGAAGGCTCAGCAGCAGCTTGACATTCACCCCCCTTTGCCCAGGGCGCTGGCCATGCACAGCAGTAGGGCCTCCGGGAGAGAGCAACCCACAGCAGAGTCCAGCACGCTCCTCTCCACAGGTACACACAGGCACACTTAACGCTCACCCTGCCAGGCCACATCCTCCTCCTCCTACCAGCGGGAAGTCAGGCGCAATGTGACGGACAGCAGCGCTTCACCTGGGCAGGATCACGGTCCCACAATGCCCAGCTGATTTCAGTCAGTGGAGTCTGGCCTGATCCCCAGCAGCCCCAGGCTTTAAGCCTCCGTCTCATGCAGTGGTTCACACTCCAGTCAGTCCCCACAGCGACTCCTCCTTCATGCCTTGAAGGGCTCTGGGCAACCTCAAGATCCCCAGGACTAGGGACTCCAGCACCCAGGGCCAAAAAGATCTGCCCCTCAGCACCCCACTGTCCACACAGATGGCAGCCTGTTTTCCAGAGCACCTGCATTCACCCTCCTTCCTCAGCCAGGAGCAGGTCGGACATACAGGGCAAGGGCCTCCCGCCCGGCATTCGGCATCAGCTCGCCTACATCTCCCGGGCTTGCTCTGGAACCAGCCAACTGTCTGCTAGTTTGTTTCCAACAGGCTCCCAGACACCGCCAGTCTCTGCCCCAAACACTCCCGCTCCCCACCTCTTCAAGGACTTTCTCATGACAGACAAGCAGCAGTCTCCAGACACCCCTGCCCCCCAGTAAAGTACCTGGAGACTTTGTGGGGCTGCGTTATATTCTGGAACCAAGCCAGCTAAGCTCAGCGCTGCCTCCACCGTCCTCACTGGAGATGCTCAAGGTTGGTTTGTGGCTCTGGCTATTCCCCCTGGGACCCAGTGCACCCGTGGGGACCAGTTCTCAGCACAGCTCTGCCGGCAGGAGCCAAAGCCTCTCCCTCCCTGAGGCAACAGGGCTGCTCACAACCACCAGCGTCAACTGGCTCAGCCGAGAGAAATCAGGAGCCCTCCAGAGACTCAGGGTCCAAGGCCAGAAGGGGCCATTCTATCACTTCCTGACTCCTGTCCAGCACAGGCCAGTCACCCCTGTGCTGGGCCCAGCAGCTTCCAGAGCTGGCCAACCCCTCCCATTCCTGGGGTCAGTCACGCGCCCGACTTCTGATTTGAATGTGTCTGGCCTCCACTGCCAGCTGCCCAGCACCGCCCTCCGTTCCCATCTGCCCCCCTCTAGGGCTGCAGGCAGACACCAGTGCAGACTGCATAGCGCTAAGCAGGGCCCCCCCCAGGGAGACACCCACCCCACCACCACCTGCAGGGCAAATCCCAAACCACACCAAGGACCTGCCTCAAACGACTGGGCCACAAACCATCCTGGGCATATGCTGCACCTTCTGCCAGACTTCCCTGGGACCCCTTCCTGGCCGCTCAGATCCATGTCCCAGCCCCCGAAGATCACATGGACCCTGACCTCGCAGCTCTGCCCTGGTGCAGCCACCTCCATTCCCCACGTCCAGCCCTGAGCAGAGCCTTCCACGGCCACACGGCAAGCTCCCCAAGCCCTCCGGGCACAAAGGCAGCCGTGCTGGCGCTCCAAGCCATCCACCACCACTTCATCATCGACGGTCCAGCTCCTCGCAGACAGCACCGCCGCAGTGCAGTCAACAGATGGGAGACGCCTGCCCGCCTCTTGGCCAGCAGCAGTGCTGAACCCCTAGGATAACCCAGCCACTCTCCATTGACCATTCATCAGCCTGGCAGACTCTCCGCAGCCAGCACGTGGTCAGCCTGAGAGGTCCCCGGAGGACTTGGTGTCAATCCCCCTCTACAGCTGGGGCTCTCCTGGGACTGCCCTGCTCGCCACTGACTGACACAAAACACCCCTATTGCACTCCAGGGCAGGCCCCCGCCGGGGATCCTGCCAGGCCCTTCTCTCATTCCTTCCCCCATCCCGGAGACACGAGATCAGGCAGGCTGCAGTCACGGGAACTCATAGAATCATAGAATATCAGGGTTGGAAGGGACCTCAGGAGGTCATCTAGTCCAACCCCCTGCTCAAAGCAGGACCAATCCCCAACTAAATCATCCCAGCCAGGGCTTTGTCAAGCCTGACCTTAAAAACCTCTAAGGAAGGAGATTCTACCACCTCCCTAGGTAACGCATTCCAGTGTTTCACCACCCTCCTAGTGAAAAAGTTTTTCCTAATATCCAATCTAAACCTCCCCCACTGCAACTTGAGACCATTACTCCTTGTCTCGTCATCTGCTATCACTGAGAATAGTCTAGATCCATCCTCTTTGGATCCACCTTTCAGGTAGTTAAAAGCAGCTATCAAATCCCCCCTCATTCTTCTCTTCCGCAGACTAAACAATCCCAGTTCTCTCAGCCTCTCCTCATAACTCATGTGTTCCAGACCCCTAATCATCTTTGTTGCCCTCCGCTGGACATTTTCCAATTTTTCCACATCCTTCTTGTAGTGTGGGGCCCAAAACTGGACACAGTACTCCAGATGAGGCCTCACCAATGTCGAATAGAGGGGAATGATCACGTCCCTCGATCTGCTGGCAATGCCCCTACTCATACATCCCAAAATGTGTATAACTCACAGCCTGACTGTGCAACTCTTCATCCATCCACCAGGTCCCCTTCCCGCTCTCCCAAGACCCACAGCCGTGTTCTGCACCCAGAGCCCCAGGCTGCACCCGAGGGCTGGCTGAGCTCTGCCAGGAGCCTGCATGCAGAGCTCTGCACTGTCCCTGGCCGAGGCAGCTTGGACTGTCTCAACATGCCACCCCCACACACTCAGTGGGGATCCCACGGCAGGACTCTGGGGCTGATGGGTCCCCGTTCCGGCCCCTGCTGCAGTGCTCTCTTCACATCTCCCTCAGCTGGCACGGGCCTGCCCTGCACCACGGGTGGAGATGTGGGCACGCTCCACGTCAATCGGCCAGCCACCCTCCCTGGTGTCTTTCCTAAAGCTCCAACCCCAGACAGCGTGAGAGGCAACGGGACCAAACCCGTCAGACGAGTCCCTGCCTGTTGCATGGGACAAAGCTCCTGGCCACCCCGCCAAAGGCTGCCGGAGTGGCACCAGGCGGTATCAGCAGCCCGTGCACCCGGACAGCAGCCCCTGTTCCCCCAGTCGGCAGGCTGTTCTCTGCATGGGGGGCCCTGGCACACTGCCCATTGCTGTGCCAGACACCAGGCCCCTGACTGGGCAGATGACATCTTCAGACTGCTGCACTTGGTCTCCTGTGGCCTGCCTGCTGATTGGGCACCGCCAGCGGGAACCACCACCTGCCCTGCAGTCCCATGCGCTGGAGGGGGGGCACACAGGGCACAGCCCCAGCTACACGGCATGAAGCGTTTGCACCGCGAGTGGGATACACATGGACAGAACATCTCCAACGGGAAAGCGACTTTCTGAGAACCCTGGCACAGGCCTGGCCAGGGGGCGCCAGATCCTGCCCTGCATCACCCCACCCCCTGGGGCCACCCAGAGCCAGGAGCCTCCACCGGCTTCCCACCCCACCCTCAATCCTGGGGCCCCCTGTCCCTCAGGCCACTCAGAGCCAAGGACCCCCACCGGCTTCCCACCCTACCCCCGCAGTCCTGGGGCCCCCTGGAGCCAGGCGCCCCCTGCTCCCCATCACAGGGACAGTCCCCAAGCCGGTGCTAAGGGCCTCGCCCTCCCAGGCCCTGTGGTGGGGGGCAGGGAGGAGCCCCCCGCCCAGAACTATCTGCCCTTCAGGAACCCGTCGAGCACGCGGTCACTGCGCTCCGAGAGCCAGTAGCCAGCCATGGCTGCCACCGCCCCGATGAAGATGGCGGTGAAGACCATGTCGCCCTTGGCGGCCAGCGTGGCCAGTGCGCAGATCACCGCGCCGAAGAACATCTGCTGCAGCACCACCACCTCGTCCTCCGTCACCTCGTCAAAAAAGCCCTTTGCCGGGGTGTCTGCGGGGAGCAAAGGGGGGCAGTCAGGGGGTAAAGCCCCAGGCTGGGAACGGCCAGACTGAGTCAGACCCAAGGTCCATCCAGCCCAGTGTCCTGTCTGCCGACAGTGGCCAATGCCAGGTGCCCCAGAGGGAATGAACAGGGAATCATCAAGTGATCCGTCCCGTCGCCCATTCCCAGCTTCTGGCAAACAGAGGGTATTGCTGGGATCACCTCCGGAGCCCTTTTTGAAAACTGGCGTCACTTAGCTCTCCTCCAGTCATTTGGGACAGAAGCGGATTTAAATGGTAGGTTACAGACTACAGTTAGTAGCTCTGCAATTTCACATTTGAGTTCCCTCAGAACTCTTGGGTGATCCATCTGGTCATTTGGTCACTTTGGATGGGCTAGCACCAGCAGGAGAGTGAATTTGTGTGGGGGGGTGGAGGGTGAGAAAACCTGGATTTGTGCTGGAAATGGCCCACCTGTTGATCACTTTAGATAAGCTATTACCAGCAGGACAGTGGGGTGGGAGGAGGTATTGTTTCATATTCTCTGTGTGTATATAAAGTCTGCTGCAGTTTCCACGGTACACATCTGATGAAGTGAGCTGTGGCTCACGAAAGCTCATGCTCAAATAAATTGGTTAGTCTCTAAGGTGCCACAAGTACTCCTTTTCTTTTTGCGAATACAGACTAACACGGCTGTTCCTCTGAAACCTGTCATCTGGTCCTGGTGACTTATTACTGTTTAGTTCATCAATTTGTTCCAAAACCTCCTCTAATGACACCTCAATCTGGGACAGTTCCTCAGATTTACCATCTAAAAAGAATGGCTCAGGTTTGGGAATCTCCCTCTCATCCTCAGCTATGAAGACCGATGCGAAGAATTCATTTAGTTTCTCCGCAATGGCCTTATCGTCCTTGAGTGCTCCTTTAGCATCTCGATCGTCCAGTGGCCCCACTGGTTCTTTCACAGGCTTCCTGCTTCTGATGCACTTAAAAAAAAATTTCCTATTACTTTTTGAGTCTTTGGCTAGCTGTTCTTCACATTCTTTTTTGGCCTTCCTAATTATATTTTTACACTTCACTTGCCAGAGTTTATGCTCCTTTCTATTTTCCTCACTAGGATTTAACTTCCACTTTTTAAAGCATGGCTTTTTGCCTCTCACTGTTTCTTTTACTTCGTTGTTTAGCTACGGTGGCTCCTTTTTGATTCTCCTGCTATGTTTTTTAATTTGGGGTGTACATTTAAGTTGAGCCTCTCTTATGGGTCCCGGACAACGGGAGCTGCGAAGCCAGCACTCTGGGTGGAGGCAGCGCAGAGAGCTTCCTGGCCATGCCCTCGCCTAGCAGCTGAGTGAGGGGGATGTCACTGCTTCCGGGGAGCCCCGCAGGTAAGCACCACCCAGAGCCCCCTCATCCACCCATGCCCCAACCTCCTGCCCCCTCCCACACTCTGCTGGGGGGTGGGGTGGGGAGCACGGGGACTGCCTGAGCTGCCCCAGAGCCAGGTGCACCGGCCACTGCACAAGTCACAGAAAGTCACAGAATCTGCGACCTCCGTGACAAACTCTCAGCCTTATGCATCAGATCCTACCTGTGTATTATCATCATCTTCCATCCTCTTCTCCTTACTAGGACAGAGAATCTCCAGAGAACCGCCCCCACCCCCAGGAGCAGCTTCCCACCCCCCAGCTGCAAACTCCCCTCCTCCTGCTCCCGGGGAGCAACACTGCACCCCAGGCTGGAACCCCAGCCCAGCCCCCAGGGCCAGAAACTCCCACCCCTCTGGGCAGCAGCAACGCCCTCAGCCCAGAACCCCCCACCATGCTCTCCCCCAGAACCCCACCAGGTAGACAGTACCACCCCCATGTGAGACCCCTCCCACCCAGAATCCCCCCAGAGCAGTGACTCCCCAGGGCCCAGAGGGGGAGGAGCCAGGGGGGTCCCTGCAGAGTCTCACCTGGGGGTCTGTCCTCCACGCACTCGCCATCCCTGCGCACATGGCCCTCTGCACACACGCACCGGTAGCTGCCATCCGTGTTCTCACAGACCTCGTGGGCCCCGGCACAGACAGGTTCCTGCACACTGGCACACTCGTCCACGTCTGGCGGAGATTAGAACCAGTGGGGGGGGGGGGTTAGAGTCAGTGTGGAGGGGCAGGGGCGGGGTGGGGGAAGATTAGAACTGGTGGGGCCAGGGGGAAGAGGCTAGAGCCGGCGGGGCGGGGGAGAGGGAGAGGGAGAGGGAGAGGGAAGTTAGAGCCGGCGGGGCGGGGGAGAGGGAGAGGGAGAGGGAGGTTAGAGCCGGCGGGGCGGGGGGGAGGAGAGGGAGGTTAGAGGCCGGCGGGGCGGGAGGGGGGGAGAGGGAGGTTAGAGCCGGCGGGGCGGGAGGGGGGGGAGAGGGAGGTTAGAGCCGGCGGGGCGGGAGGGGGGGGGGAGAGGGAGAGGGAGGTTAGAGCCGGCGGGTCGGAGGGGGCGGGGGCGGGGGAGAGGGAGAGGGAGGTTAGAGCCGGCGGGTCGGAGGGGGCGGGGCGGGGGAGAGGGAGAGGGAGGTTAGAGCCAGCGGGGCGGGGGGAGAGGGAGAGGGAGGTTAGAGCCGGCGGGGCGGGGGGGAGAGGGAGAGGGAGGTTAGAGCCGGCGGGTCGGAGGGGGGGGGAGAGGGAGAGGGAGAGGGAGGTTAGAGCCGGCGGGGCGGGGGAGAGGGAGAGGGAGAGGGAGGTTAGAGCCGGCGGGGCGGGGGGGAGAGGGAGAGGGAGGTTAGAGCCGGCGGGGCGGGGGCACGGCACTCACCCAGGCACTTTGCTCCGTCCCTCTGGTAGCCTTTGTTGCACCTCTTGCAACGGGCAGGCCCGGCGCCCATGCAGCCAACACAGGCCGTGGAGCAGTCTGGGGACAGAGCGGGCGTGAGGGCACCGCCAGGCACCCACCCGTCCTTCCCCCGGGGACAAACGGACCCACCTGACCAGAGCAGAGCATGCCCAGGCCGGGCTGGCCAGGGGAGCCACAGCCGAGGTGCACGGGGAGCCGGGTGCTGCCTCAATCTGCACGGGGCGACGAAGGGGGCTGGGGCCCGCGGAAGGGTCCTTCCGTGCACCTGAGCAATGCTCGGGGGCGGCGAGCGCAGTACGGAGTCGCATTCCCTTCTGCAGAGAGCAGGGAGCCCTGCGGGGGGCAGCAGCGCATGGATCCTGACCCCGTAGCGCCCCACCCGGGCCAGCCCCTGGGACCGCCCCACCCCCTCCTGCGCCAGGCACTGGGACCCTCCCACATGCCCGCCCCACCCCCCTCCCCTGCCGGGCACTGGGCCCGCCCCAGCAAAGGCCAGGGCACGGGCACGGCCAGGGCCAGGGAGCCCAGTGCTCGCTCCCCACCCAGGGCACAAACGCCAAGGCGCTGCACAGGCCCTGCCCCCGGGGACGAGCTCTGACCTCGGCACTCGTAGGAGCCCTCGGTGTTGACGCAGAACTGGTTGGGCCGGCAGTGCGCCATCTCCGTGCCACACTCATCGATGTCTGCAAAGAGAGTGGCCTCAGGCCCTGGGAGTGGGGCCCACTGCCCCTCACCCCCAGCCCCCAGCCCAGCCCTGCCCCACCCCTTCCCTACGGTCCAGCCCTGCGCCTCACAGCCCTGCCCCATGCCCCACCCCTTCCCCCTGCCCCACGGCCCAGCCCTGCGCCTCACAGCCCTGCCCCATGCCCCACGGCCCAACCTTGTGCCTCACAGCCCTGCCCCAAACCCCACCCCTCTGCCCCATGGCCCAGCCCTGCGCCTCACCGCCCACCCCATACCCGCCCATCTGCCTCATGGCTCAGCCCTGTCCCTCCACTCCCTGCCCCACAGCCCAGCCCCATACCCCACCCCTCTGCCCCACAGCCCAGCCCTGCACCTCACAGCCCACTCCATGCCCACCCCTCCCCTTTGCCCCGTGGCCTGGCCCTGCACCTCACAACCCAGCCCCATACCCCACCCTTCCCCTCTGCCCAACGGCTCAGCCCTGCTCCTCACAGGCCAGCCCCACAGCCCACCCCTCTGCCCCACAGTTCATCCTTGCACTTCACAGCCCACCCCATATTCCACCCCTCCCCTGTGAACCATGGCCCAGATCTGCCTCCAGCAGCCCCGAACCGTAGCCCTTCTGACCCTCTCCCATTTATATCCCTTATGACAAGGGACAGGGTGCGGAGCCATGTACCTTTCACTTCAGCCCTGCTCTGGGGGGCACAACACCCAGGCATGGGTTAAAGCACACCCAAGGGGTCCTAGGCAGCAGGGCCTTGGCCTCCCCATCCATGTTCTGTTCCACAGGCCCCCACTAGCCCCGCAGGGTCCAGAGTTCTCAGAGGGCAGCGGAACTCACCAATGCACCTGTGCTCATGCAGCGCCCAGCCCCTCTTGCAGCGCAGACAGCTGGAGTCCTCTGGCCCTGAGCAGCGCCCGCATGCCTGGTAGCACTCTGCCAAGACAGGAGAGAGACTGGCCATGAGCATGCAGCCCAGCCCAGCCCCTTTCCATCTGCCCAGGCAAACCCAGCCCCACAGGCTGACAGATCCAGTCACCTGGGGCTCCACCCCGCCAGCCCCAGAGCGGAGCCCAGAGCCAGCTCTTACACAATGGCCAGACTGGGTCAGACCAAAGGTCCACCCAGCCCAGTATCCTGTCTGCCGACAGCAGCCAATGCCAGGTGCTTCAGAGGGAATGAACAGAATAGATAATCATCAAGTGATTTATCCCCTCGCCCATTCCCAGCTTCTGGCAAACAGAGGCTAGGGACACCCTCCCTGCCCATCCTGGCTAATAGCCATTGATGGACCTACCCTCCATGAACTTATCTAGTTCTTTTTTGAACCCTGTCATAGCCTTGGCCTTCACCACATCCTCTGGCAAAGAGTTCCACAGGTTGACTGTGTGTTGTGTGAAGAAATACTTCCTTTTGTTTGTTTCAAACCTGTCGCCTGTTAATTTCATTTGGTGACCCCTAGTTCTTGTGTTATGAGAAGTAAATAACACTTCCGTTATCTACTTTCTCCACACCAGTCATGATTTTATAGACCTCTATCATATCCCCCCTTAATCGTCTCTTTTCCAAGCTGAAAAGTCCCAATCTTATTAAATCTCTCCTCATATGGCAGCCATTCCATACCCCTAATCATTTTTGTCGCCTATTTCCAATTCCAATACATCTTTTCTGAGATGAGGTGACCACATCTGCACACAGTATTCAAGATGTGAGCGCACCAAGGGTTTAGATAGCGGCAATGTGACATTTTCTGTCGTATTATCTGTCGCTTTCCTAATGATTCCCAACATTCTCGTCCCTTTATTGACTGCTGCTGCATCTTGAGTGGATGTTTTCAGAGAACTCTCCACAATGACTCCAAGCTCTCTCTCTTGAGTGGTAACAGCTAATTTAGACCCCATCATTTTATATGTATAGTTGGGATTTTGTTTTCCAATGTGCATTACTTTACATATATCCACATAGAATTTCATCTGCCATTTTGGTTCCCCGACACCCAGTTTTGAGAGATCCTTTTGTAGCTCTTTGCAGTCTGCTTTGGACTTAACTATTTGAGTAGTTTTGTATCTGCAAATTTTGCCACCTCACTGTTTACCCCTTTCTCCAGATCGTTTATGAATATGTTGAACAGTACTGGGCCTAGTGCAGACCCCTGGCGGTCACCACTATTTACCTCTCTCCATTCTGAAAACTGACCATTTATTCCTACCCTTTGTTTCCTGACTTTTACCCAGTTAACAATCCATGAGAGGACCTTCCCTCTTATCCCATGACAGCTGACTTTGCATAAAAGCTTTGGGTGAGGGACCTTGTCAAAGGCTTTCGGACAATCTAAGTACACTATGTCCACTGGATCCCCCTTGTCCACATGCTTGTTGACTCTTGGGCAGCACCATCCCAAGCAGCAGGGAGCAGTGCAGTTCGCACTCCCGCTTGCCAGGACACCCGCACGGTCCCAGCCCAGCCCCACCGGTGCCGTGCCGCACTACATACCAGCACATACCAGGTGGCTCTCGTTCCTGGCTGCCTCATAGTAGCCGTCCGCGCACTCGGAGCAGAAGGAGCCGCCGTAGCCTGGGCTGCACATGCACAGGCCAGTGCCCGCACGTGTCCCCTCGCCGTCACATTTACCATTCCCGCTGCACGGCTGCTGGTGCCCACCAGCACATGCTGCCGGGAGACGGGTTGCTGTGCTCATCACCGGTGCCAGGCACAGAACTTGTCCCATCCCACAGTGCCCCGCACCCACCTCCGACCCCCTGCCCATGGCACCTGTCCCTCTGCCCCAACCCTACCCATGGTGCCACCCTTCAAAGCCCCAGTTCCTGCCCACAGCACACTCCTCCTCCCCCGCCCCGGACCTCTGTCCCCCGTCCCAACCCCTATCCACAGTGCTGCCCCTCCCAGGCCCCAGTTCCTGCCCATGGCACCTGTCCAGGCCCCCATGCCTGGCCTGCTCCTCCATCCCTTCCCATGGTGCCCTGCCCATGGCCCCCAGCCTGGCCCTGAGGAGAGGTGCTCCAGAAGCCAGCAGGGCTGGTGACTCACGCAGGCAGTCAGGGCCATAGGTGCCAGGTGGGCAGCAGACCTTCAGCATGTCCATGCAGAGCCACTGGAAGAAGTCAGGGTGCTGCTGCTGTCTGAGGGAAACAGCAGGAAACACTGTTACCCCCACAGGGGAAGCCTGTTAAGGTAGGTCCTACATAAACGCTGCACCCGGTGCTACCACTGCTGGCTGTGCCCACTGTCCAGGCACCTTCACTGCCCTGGACACGGACATCTGGGCAGGATGCAAAGTCCCCCCCCTCCTCCCCGCACCCTGCTGCCCTGGGCCCTACCCCTGCCCACTCACCTCCATGCAGCAGCTGCCGCCCCAGGATGGGGCAGTGCACAGCCCCTCTCCAGGGAGGTGGCAGCTGGTGGCCCGTGTCTGGATGGGAGTCACCCAGGTACTTGGCCCAGATCACAGTCCCAGTGTGGCACAGACCCTGCTGCTCCTTGCCCCAGTCACTCACCCCTGGAACCACCAGCTCTCCACGTGCTCTTCACTCTGCTCCAGCAGCTGGTGACACGCAAAGTCCGACTTTCCACACACGCTCTCCAGCACCTCCAGCAGGCGCGTCTCACTGCGCAGGAACAGGGGTCAGGGCATTGTAGACACTGCCCATAGCACCTCCCCAGCCCAGGCCATCAGCCCACAGGACCCTCCTCCCCGCCTCGCCCACCGGACCCCATAGCGCTCCCGCAACAGACCAGCAGCCCCCAGGCCCCATCAAGACCAGCAGCCCCCACAGTGCCCTCTTCTCTGTGACAAAGTGGGAGGTTTTTTCTTAATGTTTTGCATGAATCCTGTGTGTGCCTCAGTTTCTCTGTGTGTTACCTCAATGCCTAGGTGGCGGGACAAAAGTGTGTGATTTTTGCTGAGACCCTAGTGGGCAGGTGGGGCTGCCTCTAGCTGTCTGCATGTAGACAATGGCCAAAACACTCCATAACCTGGCAACTGATGGTCTGACAAGTTGGAGCAAAGTGAGAGGTGGTGACCAGGTGACCTGTTTGCCCAGGAAGGAAGAGGAGCCACGGGTGTGTCTGAGGCTGAGCTGGTGGAAGCTGGGTGGGCCATCTCCTGGCTTGGGACTGAGGGGGAGAGCCCAGGGCCCTGGATCCCCACCAAGCTGGATTTTGCTGCAGGTCCCTGATTTCTGTGCTCACAAGCTCTGTTCTACACTGGGTTCCAGACATCTAGCAACCCATCTGCGTCACATGCTGGCTGGGAGTCACTGCTGGCTGCAGAGTGGGGGGCAGGGCATTTTGGGGGTACGTGAGACTCCCCAGAGGTCCTGTCCAGGGGGACTCGCTGCAGGGAGCGAACGGGGCGAGCAGGAGGCTGACCGCTCCAAGGTCGGACCCAAGAAGTGCCGAAGCCAGGCAGGCTCCTTGTCCTGGTGAGTGTGGCCCTGAGGCTTCATGCAGAGCCATTCCCGAGCACTGAGACTGACTCCACCGCACCCACTGGCCCCATAGCAACCCCCCACCCAGACCACCAGCCCCACGACCCAACCTATGGTCTCATAGACCTGCCCCTGCCTGGACCATCAGACCCATAGTGCCCCTCTCCTTCCCTGACCAAACTGCCAGCTCCATAGCGCCCCCAACCAGACTAGCTCCTTAGCACCCCTTTGCCCAGACCACCAGCCTCACAGTGCCCCTGAGACCACCAGCCCCATAACATCCTCCTCCCTCCCATGACCCTCAGTCTCCCCTGACCTCCCCCTTGTCCCATAGTCCCCCCTTGCCTTGACCACCAGCCCTATAGGGCCTCCCTCCTCCCTGACCCAGCCCGCCAGGCCCATAGCACCCCCACACCAGATCACCAGCCCCCTGGTGTCTCCCCCCAAAACTACTGGTCCAGCCCCCAGCTCATGATAGCAGCTGGAGCTCCAGGAAGCCTGCTCTCTGTGAGATCTTCACCTCCAGGGTAGAGCCCCAGACTGGAGGGCGGGGCAGCACTGAGCTCCTGTCCACACACACACACCCCTGTGGGTGAGCTGGGGCAGGAGTCGGGCAGCGCTCCCCCTGCCCATCATGCCACCCGCTCACCTGTGCGCATATTTCGCCAGCTTCTCCTCCTCCCAGGCCGTGTTCCCTCCCCGAAATTCTCCCGCTCAGTCCGCTCCAGGCCCTAGGGAAGCAAGGGAAGGTCACAGCCCCAGGCCCAGTCCCACAGCAAACCCCTCCGAACCCACGCACCCAGCCCCGCCCCAGCAACAATCCTAGCCCCCTCCCAACCCAGCTATGCCCCATAGCCCCAACCCCACGCTCACTGGGGGCAGTGCTGTGTGGGGAACCCAGCACTAGTGCCCATGGGGGGCACCAATCCTGCTGCACTCAGGGACTGGTCCTGGGAAACACCCAGCCGCCTCCCTCTGCCCCACAACCCCGCACCTTGAGAAAGCTGCTGGCGAGGTCCCGGCAGGTCTGGCAGGGCTCAGGTGGGGAGGAGCCTGTGCACCAAGGGCCCAGCAGCAGCCCCAGCAGCAAGGGCAGGAGCCTTCTCCCACGCAACCCCATCCTCAGGGCAGCGGCAGGCTGGGGAGAGAGCAGCAGCCCTGACACACAGGCCCGGCTAGGGGGCACGGGGCCTGGCACAGCCCTTCCTGGGCAGCCAGCTGGGGCCACGTGGGGGCACGAGGCAGGTCCCAGACGATGCCCCCGAAGCTTTATCCCCCTCCCACCTGTGGGGCTCCAGCACCGAATGGGGGTCGCGGGCCCTCCCCCCAATTCCAGTTCCCACATTGCGCCGCTCCGTAGGAGCTGGGGGAGGAGACCACCTGGCAGGGGGGCCAGGCGGGACTGGGGGGGTGGGGCCGGACTCAGGGGGGCCAGACGGGACTGGACTCAGGGGCGCTGTAGGGGCGGGGTTGGGGCCAGGGGGGGAGGGCTGAGGGCATGGGGGGGGTGGGGCTGGACCAGAGGGGCGGGGACCTGGGGGGGGCTGCGAGGAGTGGTGGGGCGGAGGGGGAGAGGCCAGGGCAGGACCGGGAGAGGACTGAGGGCACTGGGGGGGCCGTGGGGCAGGGGCAGGACCGGTGGGGACGGGGGAAGGCTGAGGGGACAGGGAGGGGCAGGGCTGGGCCAGGGCGGGCCGGGGAGCAGGACCGGGGGCAATGGGGGGGCCGGGGCAGGACCGGGCGGGGGCTGGGAGGAGTGGTGGGGACAGGGGCACGGGGGCTGGGGACCTGGGAGGAGTGGTGGGGCGGAGGGGAGGAGTAGTGGGGTGAGGGGGGTCGGGGAGGGGACCTGGGGGGGCTATGAGGAGTGGGGGAGCGGACGGGGGAAGGGCTGAGGGCACGGGGGCGGGCGGGGAGGGGACCTGGGGGGGCTGTGAGGAGTGGTGGGGCGGGGGGGAGGGGCTGAGGGGACGGGGGGGGCAGGGCTGGGCTAGGGGCACGGGGGCAGGGGACCTGGGGGGGCTGGGAGAAGTGGTGGGGCGGAGGGCAGGAGTGGTGGGGTGAGGGGGGACAGGGGACCTGGGGGGGCTGGGAGGAGTGGGGGGAGGGGAGGAGGAGGAGTGGGGTGGGGGGGGCCGGGGGCACGGGGCGGGCGGGGAGGGGACCCGGGGGGGCTGGGAGGAGTGGGGTCACGGGGCGGGCGGGGAGGAGTGGAGGAGGAGTGGGGTGGGGGGGCCGGGGGCACGGGGCGGGCGGGGAGGGGACCTGGGGGGGCTGTGAGGAGTGGTGGGGCGGGGGGGGAGGGCTGAGGGGACGGGGGGGGGCAGGGCTGGGCTAGGGGCACGGGGGCAGGGGACCTGGGGGGGCTGGGAGAAGTGGTGGGGCGGAGGGCAGGAGTGGTGGGGTGAGGGGGGACAGGGGACCTGGGGGGGCTGGGAGGAGTGGGGGAGGGGAGGAGGAGGAGTGGGGTGGGGGGGCCGGGGGCACGGGGCGGGCGGGGAGGGGACCTGGGGGGGCTGGGAGGAGTGGGGGGCAGGGCTGGGGGGGGGGGGGAGAGACACAAGCTGGACGCTCAGGAGCGGGTCAAAGCCCCGCAGCGGGGGGGGGGGGGCACGCGCGAGAACAGCCCCGCCCGGGGAGCAGCCGCGCGGCACCGGGGGGGGGGGGGGGCCCGGCGCGGATCCCGCCCCGCCCCCACCTGCCCGGCCCAGCGCGAGCGGCCGATGCTGCAGCCTGCGACTCCCTGCAGCGCCCACGCGCTGCGCCGCGCTCCGCCAATGGCAGCGGGCCCTGCGCAGCAACGTCACCCACCGGTACGCAGCCAATCAGCGCGCCCCGCGCGGGAGGCACCTGTTAACGGGGCACTGCCGGGACCCTGGTTCTCCTCCCTCCCGCCCCTACGGGCCGCCCATTGGCTCCTCCGGCCCGCCAGGCCCCGCCCCTTTCCCATCTCCCTCCCACCCCACCCTGGCCCCACCCCACCCCACCAGTGGCCAGGCCCCACCCCCACCCTGGCCCCACCCGTGGCCAGACCCTGCCCCAGCCTATCACAGCCCTGCCCCACCCTGGCCCCACCCCACCCGTGGCCAGGCCCCACCCCACCCTGGCCCCACCCGTGGCCAGACCCTGCCCCAGCCTATCACAGCCCTGCCCCACCCTGGCCCCACCCCACCCCACCAGTGGCCAGGCCCCACCCCACCCTGGCCCCACCCGTGGCCAGACCCTGCCCCAGCCTATCACAGCCCTGCCCCACTCATGGCCAGGCCCCCACCCCCACCCCCAGCCTGCCACAGCCCCGCCCCACCCTGTCATAGCCCCACCCCACTCGTGGCCAGACCCCACCCCTGGCCCACCCTAGCCCCGCTCCACTTGTGGCCAGGCCCCAGCTACTTGCTTCTAGCCTGGAGCCCAGGAAAAGCCAAGGCCCCGTTAGAAAAATAACCAGCCTTTATTAGGAGCATGGGGCAGTGACCCGCAGAGCCCGCCGCAGGGCAGGGGCCAGCACAGGTTTGCCCTCCAGGCCCAGCCCAGGTGGTGCAGAGACAGTGGCAGATACACTCTGGCTCTGCAGGAGAACATAAGAAGGGCCACACTGGCTCAGGCCAAAGGTCCATCTAGCCCCCTATCCTGTCTGCCGACAGTGCCCAGAGTCGCAGGGGACAGAGCCTCAGTCACGTGGAGCCCATGGCTGGAGGGAGCTCCCCAGCCTCGCTCTTGGCACCCATCGGTACCTGTCCACTCCCAGGCAGGGCGGACGCCTGGGCTGGGCAGTGCCCATCAGGCTTCTGCAGCTGGCACTCTCGGATGGCGCGCTGCAAGCTGACGCCGATCCACAGGGAGTGCTTCTTCAGGCTGCTCTTCTGCTCCCTGCCGGCAGCAGTGCCAGCCAGCGCCAGGAGGAAGGTGGGCAGCTGGGAGGGCAGCGTGAAGATGGGCACTGTGCGGAAGAGCTCTGGGATGTCGGCCGGCCGGAGGAGATCCTCAAAGCAGGCCACCAGGTACTGGCCCCCAGCCTTGCCAGCCAGGAAATCGGGAAGGACGCAGTTGAGGGAGGCTGAGAAAGCGCTGTACGGATCGTCCCGGGGCAGCCGTTCCCCCTGCTTCCAGAGCAGCCACTCCATGCACCTGGCCACGGCGCCCCTGGAGAACAGCAGGACCACCGTGCCACCCTCCTGTAGCACCCGCAGCCGCTGGGCATGGAACCACTGCATGGGACCGATGGCACAGAGCTCAGCCCGGCTCCACATTTCCACTGACACCGCCAGCTGCAGCCGTGTCAGGGCACAGGCCAGGGTGCTCACCAGCCGCTCGAAGCCGGCGTGGTCGGGCGAGTAGAGGATCAGGGCGCGCCGGCCCCGCAGCACCCCTGCAGAGACAGAGAGGGCTGTTAGCGCTGAGCTGGGCTGAGCCAGGGAGCAGGCAGGGTGGCTCGACAGGCTGCGTGCAGCCCACTCGCCACTCCCACGCCTGGCCCCATGCTCTGCTCACTCAGGCTCTGGCAGCTCTGCCTGGCAGGGTCATAGAGACCTGCCCCCACCCCAAGCCCAGGTGTGAGGGCACATGTGCCCAGGTGCAGCATCTCACCCTGGAGAGCTGTGCCAGGGGCCCATGGCCCAGGAAAGGAAAGGCTCCTGCTCCTCCTTGCTGTCTTGGCCCTAGCCCCAGGTGCCCCAAGGTTCAGCACCCCACTCAGACCTGCTCATGCCCCCATAGGGCGTCCTCTCCCCAAGCACTCACCACCAGAGCTATAATCCTCCTTCAGCATCTTCAGCCACCCTGGAAAATAAAAGGGGGAGCCCTGGTGAATTAGCAGGTCCGGCACTGCTCCCGCACCCACCCCAGCAGAACCAGACCCACAAAATCTAGGGTGCAGGGAAGAAATGGGTGGAGCAAAACCCAGCTCGGTCTAAGGTACATCTTAGATTGGGGGGGGGGGGCAGTTGCTCAGTAGGGGGCGCTCTCCCCCTGTAGTCAGTGCTGGCCCCAGTGTGGTGCTGGGGGGGGGGCCTGTGCTCTCAAGAGGGGGGCTCAATAGGGGGTGCTCTCTCCCTGCAGTTACTGCTGGCCCCAGTGCCCCACGCAGCACTAGGGATCTGTGGAGAAGGGGACTTGGCAGGCAGGGAGTGGGGAGGGCAGTGCCATAGTGCAGCCAGGAGTGGGTTGGGGAGCTCTGACCTTTCAGATTTTCCTTCTTGAGCAGGAGCAGGAGCAGAATGCAGAAGGTGCTGAGGAGACCCCCCATCCAAGCCAGCACCCAGTGGGCACGGAGATCTGCCAGGACACAGGGGTTAGGGTTGCCAGGTTTCCGGTTTTCAACAGGAACGCCCAGTCAAAAAGGGACCCTGGCAGCTCCGGTCAGCACTGCTGACTGGGCTGTTAGAAGTCCGGTCAGAGGGGCTGGCAGACTCCCTACCTGGCTCCACGTGGCTCCCCAGAACCAGTGACACATCCCTCAGATCCTAGGCAGAGGCAGGGCCAGGGAGGCTCCGTGCACTGCCCCTGCCCAGGATCCACAGCCAATGGGAGCTGTGGGGGCAGTGCCTGCAGGCGGAGGCAGCATGCACCAAGCAGAGCCACCTGGCTGCGTTTCTGCCTAGGAGCTGAGGAACATGTCACCACTCCTCAAGGAAGAGCTGCCGAGAGCCCACACCCCAACCCCCTGCCCAAACCACTCATTTCTGACCCCACCCTGGAGTGCACTCCCCCAGCCAGAGCCCTCACCCCCTCCTGCACCACAACCCCCTGCCCCAGCTGGGTGAAAACAAGCAAGGGAGTGAGGGTGGGGGGGAGCAAGCAACAGAGGAAGGGGCTGGAGTGAGCGGGGGTGGGGCCTCAGAAGGGGCGGGGCAAGAGTTTGGTTTTATGTGATTACAACATGGGCAGGTGGTGCTCAGGGCACAGGGTGGGGGGAGCGGAAGAGAAGAGAAGAGGGTTCGGGGCTGGAGCCCCTGGTGGCAGCGAATTATCCCACAGCAGGCTCGAAGGACACACACACGCAGCTTTGGACTGGCAGCTCAGCAGCTTTCCCTGCTCTCTCCAGAATTGCCACGGCCCAGGGAGTGCCTGGCCACAGGCTGACCCCTTGCCTGAGGCCCTCCTGTCACAGAGTGTGGGGGAGTCAGGGCCTGGCCCCCCACTTCCTGCGATTCACCGTGACTCTCAGCCAGCCAGTGGAACAGAAGGTTTATTAGCCAACAGGAACACCGAGCTTGTAGGCACAGAGAACAGGACCCCTCAGTCAGGTCCATCTTGGGGGGCAGGGAGGCCAGAGCCCCATCTGGGCCTCCCTCCATTTCCCCAGACAGCTCCAAACTGAAACTCTTCCCAGCAGTCTCACCCAGCCTCCCCCCGGCTCCTCCTCCAGCCTTTGTCCAGTTTCCCGGGCAAAAGGTGTCACCTGGCCCAGGTATCGTCCCTCAAGTGAAGTCATACCCTGGTATCCCATCCCCAATGCAGACAGTCCCATAAAACTCCCCTGCAATATTCCCCGGTCAATCCGCCCCACTCCCTACTCCATCACACCTCCTTTAAACCCTGCCCCTTCCAGGGAGCTGCACCCTATCCCTCCCTCCCAACAGGGCCACTAGGAGCCCCCTTCACAGGCAGGAGGGAAGGGCGGTCCCTGGGGGTCCAGCATCCCCCTCACCCCGCACTGGGCTCAGCCCCAGCACTGGGTCCAACAAGCGTTGTTCAGCTCCAGAGCAGAGAGGCCCTGGCACAATGGGGGCCAGCCGCCCCCCCCCCCCGAGCCTCCCCCCGACATACTCACACTTCTCCAGTGAGCAGGCCCAGCCGGTGCCCACCACGCTGCCCTCAGCATCCCAGACCTGTGGAGACAGCTGCCTGTTACTGACGCAGCGCAAGGACCCATTACACCCACGGGTGCCGCTCCCGCACAGCACTGACCTGCAGACACTGCCCAGCCTGCACATCCCGTCGCAGCTGCTGCTCCAGGGCCCCCACCGCAACTCCCTGCACAGAAGGCAAAGGATGAGAATGATACAGGAGCTGCTGGGGCCGCAGCCTGCGGGGAGGGCCTGGGGAGGGGGTCCCTGCAGGCCCTGCCCTCCATGGAGCTGCATAGGGCAAGGGGCCCCTCACCATGCAGGTGGAGCTGGCCAGTGGAACGCAGGTGCCACGCTCCATGGCACAGAGCAACATGTTCCCTTGCGGGTCCCTGGTCTCCATCAGCAAGAGGTCGGCCGGCTGGCCCTGCATGGCGCCTAGGGCAGAGGAGAGGCTGAGGGGGCCACCAGGCTCAGGGGAACCCAAGCCCAGCTAGCCCCCCTTAGAGCAGAGATGGTGTCCGCGCCCCAGCGTGGCACTCACCTTCCAGCAGGCACTGCATGAGCTGGACCCGCCCACCACTCCACACCTGGAGAGACAACAGGGTCAGCAACTAGTCTAGGCAAGAGAAAGTTGTGAACTGCAGAGGTGGGGCAGATGGTTGCATTCAAGGCATAAACTTGGGGACAGGGAAGCAGCTGCGAGGGCACCTGGGGCATCCCGGGCCAGCCCTGAGGGAGCGGGAATGCCGAGCCCCGGCCCTGTGGCTCTGCTGGGGGATCCCGGGCCAGCCCGGAGGGAGCGGGAATGCCGAGCCCCCGCCCTGTGGCCCTGCTGGGGGATCCCGGGCCAGCCCGGAGGGAGCGGGAATGCCGAGCCCCCGCCCTGTGGCCCTGCTGGGGGATCCCGGGCCAGCCCGGAGGGAGCGGGAATGCCGAGCCCCCGCCCTGTGGCCCTGCTGGGGGATCCCGGGCCAGCCCGGAGGGAGCGGG